GGACAGACTAGGAGAAGTATTTGAAATCTGAACAAAAAAGGATTTGCATTAACCACCAACTAATAAAAAGCATCTAAGACAGGAAGACTCCTGCGGCTGGGACTGAGCAGGGCTGTGGAATTCTTGGAAGGAACCCCTCAGTCTGGGAATTGACAAGACTTGTGCCCAGGGCAAAGGGTGGAACCTCCCAGCAGCTGGTCCCTCTGGGCTGTTGGGTCGCCACAAGACAACCACATCTGTGCCTCTGGGTCAGGCGCTAAAGCTGCTTGGAGCCAACTTTCTCCCAGACCAACTGACTGCTTGCCAGGCCCAGACCTCACCCTGCTCTTTCCCGCCTGTAGGTGTTGGTTCCAGGTATTTGTTTCCATCTGGAATGTCCTTTCCCCGTCTGTTCAGATCATTCCTTTTCAAGGTCTTTACCCTAAATGCCAAATCCATCTGGGAAGCTTGCACCAGGCCTTGTTATCTGTATGTGTCTGTACCCTGCCACCACCCAGCCCATCTGCCGCCTCTCAAAATGTGCCTCCCTGTTCAGACTGCACATGCAGGGAGGGACCTAGCAGGGGGCACCTTGCATAGAGGAGCCCCACAGATTTCTTGAATGCTATAGAATTCTCCCCTGTTCCAGGATAGGGTTGGCAGTTAGAGGAATCCTCTCTGCTCACGCCCCTTCCTGAGAGTTCTCCTCCATTTCCAGAGTGCCACGGTGATTAGCTGCAGTGACAGGAAAGAACTGGGGCCAGGCGTGACCCAGCACGTGGTGTGGACCTCCAGCACCAGTGTAGCTTCCCCCAGAGGGGCAGGGTCCGAGCGAGGCCGGGAATGGACCCTCCAGGACCAGATACTGGCACAGTCTCTGCCCACAGACCCAAAGGCTTCAAGGGGGGGCAAGTGGGGGAGGAAACCCAAGACCTGGGGCACCACTGCAGCAGCAGACCTGAAGCCTGGGCGTCGAGAGGCTTTTTTTCCCGATAGCAGGGTGTGTGCGACACCAGGTCGGGGGGGGGGGGGGGGGGGCCGACCCCCCCCTGCTGGGGCCCACGCTGCACGGAAAGACTGCGGAAGTAACAGGCCCCAGACACAGCCCGCCGGCTGCTGCGGGCGGGGGGCCGGCCCCTCCTTTTGTCGCCAGGCTCTGGGTCGCGCTGCAGGTGACCCCGGCAGCTGCCAGCCGTGCCCGTCCCCACCCGCGCCGAGCCGACCCCCGCGGCCGCCGCCTTCCCGGGGTTTTCCGGCGCCCGCACCTCAAACGACCTCAGCCACCCGCCCCAGCTGCTCCCGCCCCCCCCAGCCCCCCAACCCCCGGGCGCGCCGCCCCGCCCCCCGCCCCCCGGCCGCGCAGCAGGGCTTTCTGATGAGTCAGCGGGAGCCCGGGAGCCTCCAGCCGCCCCAGGCATCTGCCGGGGTGACGCGCCGTGACTCACGGGCGCCCCGCGGCCGCGGCCGCAGCCGAGCGCGCAGCGCCGAGCCGAGCCTGGAGCGCAGCGCGCGGCCCCACGCGGCGGCCCGCGCCCCCGAGCCCGCCCGGCGCCGCGCCGCGCCCCCCAGCTCCCCCCAGCTCCCCCCGCCGCCCCAGCGCCCGCCTCCCCCGGGGCCCCCGCCCGCCCCGGCACCCTCCGCGCCCCTCCCGCCCCTGGCCGCGCTCCAGGCTGACAGCAGACGCCGCCGCGCGGCTCCTCTGACTCAACAGTTTCCGCGCGGGGCGCGCGGCCAGGGCGGGGGGGGCGCTGCCGCGGGGGGCGGGGGCGGGGGCCGCGGCGGGCCCGGGTCTGGCAGCCGCGGGAGGGCGGAGGTGGGTGGGGACCGGCGGGGCCTCTTACAAGAAGTCACGGGGGAGGGGTGCGGGGAGGTGAAGCGCCCGCGGAGCTGCCGGGGCGGGGCGGAAACCTGCCGCCCGGGGCCGCCACGTGCTGAGGCCGGCCCGGGGGTGGGGGTGGGGGTGGGGGTGGGGGTGGGGGTGGGGGTGGGGCGGGGGGGCTGGCGCGCCCCCAGAGTGGCGGGGGCGACACAGGGTGGGGAGCGGGAAGGCCCTGCTGGGAAAGACCCCGGGCCGGGTTTGGGGGGGGGGGAAGAACCGCGGGTCGACGCCCCCGCCGCAGGCCCCCGGGAACGTGTCTGTCTGTCCAGTTCCTTTCTCCGAGCGGCTCTGGGCGAGCCTTGGGCCTGGCCCTGCCCGCTGGAAGAAATGCGCTGGCCTCACCCACCCGCACACCCGTCACCACTGGGGTTGGGGTTGGGGTCCCGGCTGGAGGCTCCCAGCCGCCGCTGCTCCGTCCTAAAGAGGACTTGGAGAGCCCCAGGAAACCGGTGGGGGGAGCGGTTTGAGGAAGGAAAAAAGCATAAAGAGGGGGCAATTTTTAACATCATGCCAAAGACCTGACTGTTCTCCTAGGGAAGGTGGGTGTCCTACTCCCTGAGAATGTAGGGCAAAGCCCTATGAGGAAAGAAAATGGCGAAGTTCTAAGAAGGACGTAGATATCAGGAAGGCACCTGGGCTGCCTCCTTAGTGTGACAAGACTGGAGCATGTCTGGTCCCCTGGTCCCATTGGGTGTTCACTGACCACTTTGAGAGGCTTAATCCTGCAGTTCTAGGCTACTCAAGGGCAAAAGACCCTCTGAAGAAGTATCCATGAGGGCCTAAGCAGCCCCTGGAAGCTTCTGTAACCCTGATGGGTTTCCCTGTCAGGAAGGAAGGGAGAGAGGAGTTAGACAGAAAGGCAGAGGCACTTGGATTTCCTTCACTCCATCCCACCTCCGCCCACCCTCTCATGACCCCCAGGAGGAGCAGAACACAACTGTCTGTTGGTGGGCCTCCAGCTGGAATTAATTTGCAGTCTCTTTCCGGGATTCAACTTGCTATTCTTTCCAAAGCCATGGCTCAACAAGTGATGCCAGCCCAGGGAGGGGGTGTCCATGTCTCATCTTGCAGGCAGAAGTAGCACACCAGCTGGGTGAACTAAACCAGCCCGGATCTTTCTAGAGCTGTTTGTCAGTGCAGGCTTGAAGGGACAAGAGCTGCTGCTTGCACCGTGTGTGCCCCTCATTCAGACTCACGTGGGCAAGAGCCTCCAGCTCACTGCTTGCCGGGCAGCCTCTTCCCCAGGGTGCGGGTGGGTGGCTCATTTCTGCTAATCCCATCTCGCTTAAAATAGCATTGAACCAGACTTCTGGGAAGCCTTGTGCACCAGGCCTCTGAGGAAGAGTTAAAAATGACAGCTCTTGTGAAAGCCAGGGGTCTAATTTGCTGAAATGGGACAAGATGCAGGTCCCAGGGACACAGGAGGGCAGAAATAGTGGCAGGGAGCTGAATGGAAAGTGTTAGTTAGTGGTGGGTGGCCTGGGGCCTGGTGTGGTTACCCATTGGGAAATTGGTGGCTGGCTCGGGAGGGGGGGGGTGACCCTGAAAGCTAAGACCAGGTGCAGGAGCAGAAGCTCTGTGACTCCCAACTTCCTCTGGTGGTGGGTTTTTTTTTTTTTTTTTTCAGACTGAGAACCCGCTGGGTAGGGTTGGTTCTCTAGTGTTTTGAATTCTGATTTCTTATGTACTTCATGTGGGTGCAGCTCAGCTGCCACCTCTGCAAGGTGCTTTCTCCCATCCCACCTTCCGATGCTCATGGCCCCTGGTGCCTCTGCTGTAGTAGCCCTTACCAAGTTTTGCTGGGCCTGAGAGGTTTTGCTGTGTTCAGCTTCTGTCTCCACCCAGAGGCCCACTGGGGAGGCCCAGAGTTCCATCTTTGCAGCTTGCTCTTGGGGGTACTCCTGGAGAAGTGAATTCTCTGTCAACTCTGCTCCTTTGCCCTGTGCTTGGCCCGATAGGCTTTCTTTGTGTCTGATGGAGCTTCCTGTTTCCTGTTTGCTTTCACAAGAGTTTCATCGTAGCTTTTGACCTGCTGGCTCTTTGACTGGCTGTTTAGCCCAGCCTTTGGGACCCTGGCACCCGTCATCCCTTTGAGTCCTAGAAGCCGTTCAGTGGAAGTGACTTTGCCCCTTCCTTTAGCAATTGAAACCAGGGCAGAAGGGCAATGAAATGTGTGTCCCTTCCTAAAGTCAGACCGTTGTGCATAAATCCACCTTTATTCAGGAGCACAGGTAGAACTCACTAAAGCTAACGTGTCATGTGTAACAAAAATAAACTAGGGTCTGTATCCCTTTATAAATTTTTTTTTTTTTTTTTTTTTTGGCTTGGGAGAACTGGGTTGTAGGCCAGAGGTATGGGAGTGTGTGTGTATTTATCAGAGACAGAGTGCGGAGCAGAACATGCAGATATACTGAAATACACTGCTGAGGGGAGCAGCGAGCAGGACAAGAGAGGTCTGCTGCTCCATGTGGGTTAGCTCTCTTGTTGGGGATCAAACTCAGGCTGTAGCAGTGATAGCACTGAGACTTAACCCCTAGGCCACCAGGGAGGCCCCTATAGAGCTTGTTACAGAGAATACCATTTAATATAAGATTCCACATACGCGTTTAAGGACTCACTTTTCTTACAACTTCTGGGGAACAATTGTATTGAAAGTGAGATGTAAGGCTAAGAGAGAAATTAGCAGGGGTCAGGCTATTTTCAGGGGACATATTACAAAATTTTGTGTTACTGCAGATGCCAGAAAAGCGGGAGATGACACTGAGCAGAATCCTCAAAACATCTCATGCCCTGGTAGCTTTTATCATTCCGCTGAGAAGCTACCTCTCGAGTCATCCCTGACCACACAGTGGAGCAGAGAGCTGGGCACTCTGTGTTAGAAAATCTTGACTTCCCTCTGGCATTGTCCTGGTGGACATCTGCCACCTTGGGTCACCTGCTGACCTTTTTGTACCTTGGTCTCTTGACCTATAAGAGCGGAGATCATTATATCTGCCTCTTCGAGCTCTTGTGAGGATCAGAGGAAGTGTCGCCCACTGGGCATTCAATAAGGACTATTTCAGACTTTGTAACTCTGGGGATAACCAGTTTCTTAGTATAATCTTCTCCATTTGGGTTTCTTCAGGTTTAGATTCTGATAGAGTCAAGGTGGACCTAAGAAAGCAATGAACTCTTTCAGAAGCCACTGGAAAAAAGACCAATTTACAGAAGTAAGGAATTTAATAGCAGCTCTATCTACCAACCAATGGTGAGTTTAGAACATCATTAAAACCGTATTATGATCAGTCTGAGACCTAATTGGTGACAAAGATGACCTTTGCCCAGACACTAGGCATGTATGAGCCTCTGAATGAGGCTTTATTCCAGGAGATGTTGCAAGAGTCAAATAAATATTGATTCCATTGAGGCAAATCCAAGCGTCTGAGGCAAGATGCAAAGTGTAAGTTTCACGTGCCCCTCTGCCGTGGGAGGCGTGACCTGGAGGGAAAGGCTAAAGCAGACCCTGCTGTAGTGGCTGCTGAGACTCAGAGCCCCAGGCTGTCCCTGGATGCTTGCTCCTGTGACCAGGAGCAGGACTGTTCCCAGGGAGGACAGATTAACTGGCTGCCTTGACACCCTTCTAAGAGGGAGCAAAGAACTGTCCTTTTGGCCCCAGCTCTTTCTGACCCTGAGGCGCCAACCCAGGAGCGTAGAGTATATTAGTTTCCTAGGACTGTATAACCGGGCGCCACCAAGGAGGTGTCTTAAAATATCAGAAATGCATTTGCTCACAGTCTGAAGTCAAGCTGTCAGCAGGGCTGTGCCCCCGCTGAGACTGGGTGGAATCCTCCCTTGCCCCTTCTGGTTTCAGGTGGCTGGCATTCCTCACTGGCAGCTACATCACTCCAATCTGCCTCTGGGAGCACACAACGTTCTCTCAGTGTGTCTGGATCCACACGTGGCAGTTTCCTCTTCTTCTAAGGACACCAGTCACATTGGAAAAGGGCCCACCCTGGTGATGTCTCTTACCTTGATTTATGTGTGCAAAGACCCGATTTCTAATAAGATCCCGTTCACTGGCACTGGTGGGTTGGCCTGCACAATATCTCCATAGGGGGAATAGTTCAACCCATAGCAGATGGTAAGAGTGATATTTTGATCCGTAGACTGCAGCACAGGCTGAGGGGCAGCAAACGCAAAGTCCCAGGAGGCAGGCCAGCGAGGGGTCACACTGACACAGCTCGTGGGCAGTCTGTCATGTACCTCACAGATATGCTTTAACCCAGTGATCCACCTCTAGGAATGCAGTGTTAGGAAGTCATCCCAAATGGTGACAAAACTATGCAAAAAGATTGTCATCTCTATGTTGTTTATAATAATTATTTATTGGGAGCCACCTCAACCTCAACAATTAGGGATGTTTATTAAAATAAAGCACACTCAGGGCCTCCCTGGTGGCGCAGAGGTTAAAGTCTCGGCACTATCAAGCTAACACCAGCCATTGAGCCATGAGTTCGATCCCAGTCAGGGAACTGACCCATGTGGCACAGCAGACCTCTCCTGTCTTCACCACTGCTCCCCTCAACAGAGCCACCTGTTCTTCTCCCCACTCTGTCTCTGATGAATCCTCTCACCCTCCCACACTTCTGGCCTACACTCCAGTTGTTGTATGCATAAGTAAATAAAATAAATCTTTTAAAAAATAATAAAATAAGGCACACTCAATGAGGGCAATATTATGTAGCCTTTAGAAAATTTCCGGAAAAAGGGAACGATAACATGGGGCGGGGGGGAAATGAAGTAAAATGATATATTCAGTATGTTGTAAACTTTCTAAAAAAAAATGCAAGGAAGAAAACAACAATGTTAACAGTCCCTTCTTTTTTACGAGTGATTTTATCTTTTTTACATGGCATTATATAAGTTCTCTGCCTTAGCTTTATCATCGGGGTGGGGGGGAAACTAATGTTATTCTTAAAAATAGATACATGAATAATTTCCTGGACTATATATTCCAGGAAAGTTCTGGCTGGGTGGAGGGCAGGGGGTTCAGTCGATTCCTGTGCTTATAAGCCACGGTCATAACCCCTGTGGAGTTTCTCAACGTGGAGTTGCGTGCTACATGCTACCCATGATGCTTGTTTGAAAAAGCAAAATTCTAGGTCCCACCCCAGACCTACTAAATCAGGATCTCTGGGCACCAGGCCCAGGAATTTGCACATTTGAGTTTGCATTCCCCCTGCCTTCGAGGCTGCAGATCACCCCCTCATCAGTGATCCACTGTGGTTTGTCACACCAGCCATTTATGCCCCCTCAGCCATGCTTTGGAGGATAAAGCCAAGTAAACAGAGAAGTTATTCTTTTTATAAAGTCAATTCTTGGTTGTACGGTTGTACCTGAGATGAGGAGCCACAGCCTAGGATATTCAAGGGAATATAAAAAGTCAAAATTTTGTTTTGGAATCGGGCAGCAGCAGATTATGTCTCTTCATTTCTGCTAGGCTAATAATTAAAAGGAGCTAACATCCCCAGACTCTACCCCAGCTACTTTGGAATTAAGAAAGGCAGTTGTAGGAGGACATCAGCCACAATGAGGGGTTTGCCCCATAACCAGTGGGTGTTCCATGTGCACTAAGTTGAGAATTGTAATTATAGTCATGATTACTTTTAACTCACAACCTTGAGGTTCCCTTAGTGATGGATTTAGGGAACCAATATCGGAGGGTGTTAGAAATTCTCCCCTTTAAGATGTGTCCTGGCTCCGGGCAGGGGTTGGCCAAGACGGCCCTTCCAGCCTGCAGTGCTGTGACTTGTCAAGGGCAAGGGCAGGCGTAGCTGGCTCTGAGAGGGCCCACAGCTGTGCAATTAGCCGTCTCATCAGTGGGTGAAACTCAACACTGCGAAGAGGCAATCATTCAAGGTATTAGTCCACACTTGTTGCTTCCGGAGTTGGTCATAGCCTCTTAGGAGAAAGGATGAGCCATACTCAGAGTGAAATATCTGTGGACTTGTGGGAGAATCAGAGAAAAGAGCCAAGAACAGCAACTGTGAAGAGGGTCACATTCCCTTAGGCGCCTTCCCATAGGACTTCAGGAAGCCACCTTCACGCTGCTCTGCACCTGACACCCCCCCACCCTGTATTCGGAGAGGGGGCAAGAGAAGGAGGAGGCACCAGAGGGCTGACATGCCAAGCACCTAAATAACCCCTTCCACTGGTGCTTGGTCAGGACCCCCAGCACTTTGGCAGGGTCTCCCCGAGGTGGGAAACGAGACCTGGGTAGGCCGAGCTGTCTCCAACTCCCCTGCCCAGGGGGAGCTGGGCACTGAGGAGGGCAAGGTAGAGGCAGGCCAGCTACTCTTCTCAGTGCGCCCTCCTTTCTTGCAGCAAAGGGGAAACAGGGGAAGAAGTCAAGAGGGTTAGGGCCCATCAAGGAGGGAAAAAATGTGAAAGGAAGCCCTGTATCTTTCACACAACGTGTAATTAACTCTCAGCAGAAGATGCCATGTATTCATAATGGGAGCCGACAGCGGGGGAGGAAGACTCTGACAAGCAGGAGATTTCTCCTGTTTTTTTTTTTTTAATTTAATTTTTTAAAGGAACATGAACAGTTGCAATTATAATTGTGGACCTTTCATGATGGTGTCTCCCCAGCAACAAGCCAGATCGTGCTGCAGTATCCGCTACCCAGGCAGGATGTGCAGAAAGGGCTTTTCTGCCTCAGAACTCTCCCCTGGCCCCAACAGCTGTGGCCTTCTTGGCCCTGGTGCTCCCCAGGGAGGGCCTGTCAGCTGCCAATTCTGCCAGTGTGCTCTTAGCGTGGAACTGGCCCCAGGGCCCTCCTCTCAGTGATGGCAGTTCTTAGAGTCATCCTGGTCTCCAGCCCGGGGCTTCTGGGGTCATTCATTTGGTAAAGCTCAGGCCTCCTTCTGAATGCCCTCCCTCAGAGGGGTGGCTCCACCCTGTGAGGAAGGGAGGCACAGCTGCAGAGGAAAGGTGGGGAGCCCCAGGGCTGGGTGGCTGCAGGTGGGCAGTGCCTGGATGTCAGCCAGAACAAATGGGGCCAACCCTTTCCCAGGCACAAAGGGCTCTCTGTGAGCAACAAGCCCAGCCCCGTGTGGGATCCGGGAGGCTCACGTTTCTTAATACAAAGGAGGCCCATTCCCAGATGGGCCTGGGTGTGGCCTACAGGCTAAACCCTGCTGAGCAGGGCCCGTGGACTCCTGGTGACCCATCTGGGTGACTTCAGTTCTCATTATGATCTGGTCTGCACATGGAGATGGAGAGAGGCCTGGGCAGGCAGCTTAACTTCACAGGATATGGGCAGTGGCCTTTTTGTCCTCTGGGAAACTTTCTATCTCTCTCTCTTTCTCTCTCACACACACAGTCACACTCAGAATCCAAATGAGATCTCAAATCTAACCATAGACTAGTCAACTCTGCTATGCAGACCATGCCTCACCCTCCCCCAAGCCATTGTCATAGAGAAAGTAGACTAAGTCTCAAAGAATTCAGGCTAGCAAGTATGTAACAGCCACTGTCCTGACCACAGGCATACTTATTATTTCTGTTCAGAACACAGAGGCTCCCTCTGCCTTTCAGTGCCCCTCAGAGTGACCCTGTTGTGGGAGAAAGAGAGTGATCATTGGGTAGGCAGATTAGTATGGGAGATAGATCGAGATGGTCCATGCTGATGTGTCTTTTACCCAAGCTTCAGGTTCATCTGGGGTGGCTGTGCGGGGGAAAGGGGTTGTCCAGGCAGTCCCTTAAACCCTCACTGGGCCAGTGGGCTTTGTGATTTAAAATGAAAGAGTTGGAATAGGATTTCTAAGTCTCTTCAGTGATCAGTCCCCCCTGAAATCCACAAGACCACACAGCCACACTACCACTCACCAGAACTTGCTGTCCACACCGCTCCTGAGGGCTGAGCCTTCAGGTGGACCCTGCAGACCTCTGCAGGGGGGAGGGAGGCAGGGGTTTCCATCCCTTCCTGTCCCAGCTGAGGTCAGTGGTAATGGAGAGTGCATGTTTGAATGTAGGACCTTTCTCTGTCCTCTATGCCCTTTGCTGGGAACTGGGCAGGAGACTCATTTACTGCACCTGTATTTCTTGGGCACCAAGTATGTGCCAATAAATAAGAGACAAAATCCCCAATTCTTAGGAGCTTGTATTTGACAAAAAAAAAGCATAGAAGTTTCCCTCTGTATTTATTTCATATGGTTGCTATAACCAAGTACCACAAACAGGAGGCTTAAACAACAGCTATGTATTTTCTCATAGTTCTAGGGGCTGGAAACCTGAGATCCAGGTCTTGGCAGGGTTGGTTCCTTCCAAGGGTTATGAGTGAGAATCTTTTCCATAGGCCTCTCTCCAGTTTCTGGAGGCTGCTGGCATCTTTGGCCTTCCTTGGCTTATAGAGACATCACCCTTATCTCTGCCTTCATCTGCACACCGTGGTATGTGTGCACTTGCACGCCCAAATTCCACACCATCCCCCATTTTTAAAAATATTTTATTTATTTATTTTTGTGTAGAAGAACTGGAGTGTAGGCAGAGGTGCAGGGGGTGAGAGAATTCACCAGAGACAAGGTGGGGAGCAGAACAGGAGGATCTACTGAAACATATTGCTAAGAGACAGGAGAGGTCTGCTGTGCCATGTGGGTATCTCCATGGCCGGGGATCAAACTCAGTCCATCATGGTGGGCCTTTGAGTAGGTAGTGCTGAAACTTAACTCCTATATCACCAGGGAGGCCCCAAATTTCCCCTTTTTATAAGAACACCAGTCATATTGGATTAAAGTCCACCCTTAATTTAGTTATTTCTAAAAGACTATCTTCTAAAAAGTTTACACTCTGAGGTCTGAATGGTAATGGTATGTGTGTATGGGGTGGGGGGAAGCAGGGGGAAAGTGGTTAAGACTGTAAGTGTCCTTTTTGGAGGGCATGGACACAATTCAACCCATAACACCTTTATAGAGAAGTATAGGAAAGCCTGGAGGGGAGTCACTTGCCCTTGAGGTTCCTGAACTCACCTGCTTCCTCAAAGCCTCACGTAAATGTATCTGAATGGTCATGTGCCTATCCCTACAGCAAGGGAAGCTGGGAGATCAAGTTTCTGTCTTCTAGCTTGGGGAGGAAGGCACTTCTAATGTGGGAGTTCCTCCAAACACCCAAAGAAGATTCAAAGGATTCATGCATAGGTGAGCATAGAGCATGACAGAAATCTACAATGCAGGTAGGGGACTCAAGAACTTAGAATGAGGCACACAACTTCTATTTCTTATGTCTCCCCATTAGTGCCCAGTATAGGGTGCCCATCATGGGGCCCAGCTGTTGATGACCACAAAGGACACAGATAATGGCCACCTAGTATCATTTGGTAAGTATTCACTACCTGCCAGGTGTTTTTCTAAGCTTTTTACCTGCATTGCCTCATTTAATACTCACAGCAACTTTATGACATAGGGGTGATTATTAATTATTAGCTCCCTTTCATGGATGAGAAAACTAAAGCACAGAAAGGTTAAGTAACTTAACCTAGTAGGTGGGAGAACCAGAATCTGAAGAGCAGTTTTAGTCTGAGAGTGAGAGCTCCATCACGGTCTCCTAAGAGATGGAAGCAGATGATGAAAGACGGAAGCAAAACCTCCCCAGCTGATGTTCAGGGAAGGGAGGTGAGCACTTTTAAACCTTTGCCCTCTATCATTCTGGGGCTCGGAGGAGCTAGCCCTGGGTGGCATGTACATTGTCTCACACTCTCTGAGCCAAGGTGGGTGTGATGTTGGCAAGAGGCACACTGACAAAGTCCTCGGGAATCCTGGGAGGAAGGCGTGGGAAGAGGCAGGAGGCAGGAGGGGGAGAGAACCAGCAGCTGGGGTGCTGTAGGGACAGCACCCAGGGGACTCTGCCTGTGGTGCCTGAGAAGGGCCTATGTCAGGAGACTCAGCCGGGCTGCGCGAAGGCTGGCTTCTCTGAGAGAGCAGGGAGGATGCAAGCCAGTCCCTTGCAAGGGACCTTGAGCAATCCCTGGGGCCAGAGGGGGCAGGAAGCTGCCAGGGCAGATCCTCCAAGCTGAGGTGCATTTGGAATGTGGCTCAAGCTCTTGCCACGTGCCAAGAGGCAGAGACCTGGACCTCTGAGCCACCATGAGTTCTGGCCACTGCCTAGTCCTGTGACCCTGGATGTTGGACCATTGCTATTTCTATTACCTTGGGTTAAAAAGGTGGGGAAAGAAGCAGAAGGAGACAGAAATTAAAGGGAGACACTCCCACAAGCCTACCCACCTGGAGCTTCCTCCTGTGCTCATAGGATTGGGCCCATAGGGTTGGACCTTGCGCTTCATGCACTCCGATGCCAGGGCATAATTTCAAAAATATGCACCCATCAGCAGTGACCGCCTTGACCAGTGAGCCTCCCTCTGGAGAAAGCCGGGACCTGCTTAGTAGCATCCCTCTTCTCAGAGAAACGGCGTGTGGTAGCTGGGGTTTTCTTAAAGGGAATGAGGAGAAAGGTAGAGCATTGTCCTTCAACAGCATTGATAATAAGGTAAGAATAGGGTGATTTCCTATATACTAGTGGGACATTTCCAAAACACACATGGGTAACAAAAATAAGAAAAAAAAGCAAAGGGAAAGAAACCATCTACGAGGTCGTTATTAGACTAGGTGACTCTGAAATATAATAGTCAATAAAAAAAGCCTACTTTAAGAAATGTTGCAAACATCTGTGGTATCCCAGTGTTTTAAAACCAGATTAATAGTCACAACCACATGAAAAGCAGGAATGCCTTGCCTGCGCCCTCTTGTCCAAGTGTCTCCCTAAAGATAAGAAGCAGAGAAGAGGCACATTCTTAGAATTTAAAGAATGAGGTGGGGCTAGGGTTGCTGGATAAAATACAAGATGGCCTGTTCAATTCCAGATAAAGCAACGAATATTTTGTTAGAATTAATATTTGCAAATATTGCTCGGAATACTAAAAAAATTACTTGTTGTTTATCTGCAATTCAAATGTAACTGGCCATTGTATTTTTATTTGCTCAATCTGGCAGCATGGAGGGGCCTCATAGCCACCCCAGTAGGGGAAGGCAGAGGAGCAAATTCTGGAAAAGAGGCTGAGTGACACAGTGGACCCCGGGAAACCGCCCCGGCCTCCTCTTGGGTCTCCGTCTCCCTGGGGAGAACAGGCAGTGCTGAGAGCACCAGAAGGTAGCCTGGAAACAAGTCAGACTTCTGGGCTAATTGCCAAGACAGAGGAAGCCAGGCGCAAGGTGGCAACTTCTAGAGTCTTCCAGGCCCCCAGACCATGTGCAGGCCTGTTTTCCTGACCCCCAGGGGATAGTAACCATGGCTCAACTGCCCCTGTAAATTCCCCAGCCTTGCTGACCTCCCCTTCAGGCCTAGCTGTCAGTCCTGCCACACTCTGAATTCCCCCACATTCTCTGGGGCTGAGGTCATTGAATATCCCCAGGCTTTTCCTGCAAGACTGAAAACCAAGCTGGGGGCATTTGTTGGATGACTAGTGGCACTGCCCAAAGGTACCCCGAGAAAGGGAAGTAGGGGTACCTGCTCCCCAGGAATCCTGGGGTGATCACTGGATAGGGCCAGCAGTCTCTCCCTAGAAGGCGAGTGGAGCCTGCCTGCCTGAGAGCTCCAGGCCAGCAGTTGCAGACCCACCCCCTCGCAGAGCTATGCAAGTTCTGATGAGGGGCAGGCCTTCTCAAGGGCCAGCAGTGTGGGAGCTGCTCTTGTGTCCTTTCCCAGTAAATGGGAGGGGAGATGGAAGGAGAAAAGGGATAGGCCTGCCCTGGGAGCTTTCACCTCAGATGCTGGACCAAATCACTCACTGGTGTGCTGAGAAAAGAAGGCAGAGTATCCCCTTGATAATCTTGTGAGATGCTTTTACTCCCATTTTTTGCAAAAGATGAAGCTGAGATCCAGAGAGGTTATAGAACTTTCCTCAGGCCACACAGTAAGTGATAGAGTGAGAAACTGCACCCTGACTACTCTGTCTCAAAAACCTTTCCCCATTCCATTACTCTTTGCTGCCCAGGAAAATTCTAGTCTAGCTCAGGAGGAAATATCTACTGTCGATTCTGTAATTCTATTATTGTCAGGTTCCTGCCTCCCCCACTACCTCCAAGACTTGACTTGTGATTGTGCAATTTCCACTAGAAAATAATGCTGAAAGGAAACAGCTGCGCTTGTCTGTGTCCACACCAGGAACTCCATCTCCCGGGCTCTCAGGCCTCCCCCACAGAGCTGAGTGAGCACTGTGGTGGTCTCAGCATGGAAGGAACTGTCACCAGTCCTTGCCCTTGCACATCTCATTTGGTAATTCTCAACAGACTGCAAAACACACTCCCTGGCGATGAACCTCATAAATCTTTATGGTGGTTTGAGTTTGGTACAATTGTGGGATATAGGCCCACGACCCCCCACCCCTATCTCCCAAGAGATACTAGGTATTGTCCCTGCCCCTTAAGCCTTCTCAGATCTCACCACACAGAGGGGAGTCAAGCCTTCCTTACCTTTTGACCTTGGGTATTTTTCATGCTGGTCACTGTTCTTCCCCTCGACATCTCAGAGCAGTAAGGTGACAAGAAACCTTCATTTCTGAGTGTGTTGGGGAGAAAGTGGGGTTTGGGGTTAGGGAGGGGAGCTGGGAGGCAAGAGAGACAATTCTGTTTCTTCTAATCATAGACTTCACTCATTTATTTGCTCATGCATAGAAGTTGGCTAGATGGGAAACACAGGAGGAGATGGAGGCTGGATGTGATCATACCAGCCAGAGTCCCACATGGCCCAGTTCTTTGCTCAAAGCCTATTCAAAGGAGCACAATCTGTTAACCCAAAGTCATTAAAAGGACCTCCAAGTCCTACTTGTATCTCCTCTCTAAGGACTGACTCAGTGGTATTTCTCAGAAACACCTTTCTTCTGTCTTACCTTGCAATAACTCCAAGTTTCCAGAAACTCTCAGCCTTCACAGTGTTTTCTCTTGGTTGTCATGTGGCATTTGGGAGCCAGATTGCCTGCTGACTCTGAAGTTTATCAGACTTGACGTCACACTTAATCCCTCTCTAGCTCAGATCTCTCACCTCTGATGTGGCGATAAGAGGCTCTCCAGCCTTGAGTTGTTGTGAGATTTAAATGAGAAGTTATAAAAGAGTTAAAATGGCACCTGGCACATGGTAGCCACTACGGAAGTGTCAGTAGCTCTCCTTATCATTACTACTGAGATTAGTCTCCTTTTCCTTCCCCATGCATTGTCCTCCCCAAGCCTTGACAGTTTGGCTGACAGAGCCATCCTTACCGCTTGGGGTGAGGTAGTTTGGAAGGGTTGAGAGCTCCACTCTCACATGGAAATAAACCTGTGCCTGATGTTTGAGAAAACAGCTTGGGGGCTTGTAGGGGATGGATAGGGACAGAGCAGGTTTTCTATGATCTGAGCAGACGGGGTAAAGGAGGAGAGAGTTCTGGAGCCCTCGGTGGCTTTTACAAGCTTTTATTGGGATTTACTTGGTACATGGCTGGTAGGGTGCTGGCCTCCCAGCCCCCAGCAGATCTTCACTCTGGGCTCTCCAGCGTTCTCTCGTGACCTTGTTCTCTGCTCCTCTCGTGGTTCCCCTGGCGTCCCTGTGATGCTGCCCTTATAAGCCCAGTCTCTCAGCCCAGGTGTATCCACTTACGCATGCCCACACCCTACTCCAGGTGCCCGCCATCAGGCATGCATTCAGGACCGCAAGGATCCATCATCTATCCTGATGGCGGGAGGGCAGAAAAGCCTGATACTTTTTCACTTACCCTCCAGTGCTCTACAGATGATTGTGAGGTGGGAAGGAGAAGGTGGGTCTCCATTGCACTGGAACAGAGGAGGGGTCCGAGGCTGCTCGCATCTGTCTCAGGGGCTTGGCCCCCAGTAGTGGGAGAAAGCTTCTTCTCCAGGTCCAGACAGTTCCGCTTGGAGGATGCTGGTCAGAAAAGTGCTGTGTGTCCAGAGGGAGACTATGAACAGGACACCAATGCAGCAGGACTCCGATGGGCTGGCAAGTGCCTCCCCTGCACTATGTCCATGTCCTAACCCCGGTGACCTGTGACTGTGGTCTCACTTTAAAAAAGGGTCTTTGCAGATATAATTAAGAATCCCAAGATGAGATCATCTTAGATTTCCCAGGTGTGTCCTGCTCGTAGCAGAAAAGAACCCACAGTTTCAGAGAAGACCATGGTGGGGACGGAGGCCAGAGATTGGAGTTGGCCACAAACCAAAGCCACCAGGAGCTGAAGAGGTGAGGAAGGGACACTCTGGTGAGACTGGAACCCTGCTGACAGCTGGACTTTGGATTTTTGGCCCTCCAAACTTTAAGAGAACAAATGTCTGTTGGTAGTCACATGATTTACGGTCATTTGTTATAACAACTATAGGAAATTAATACAAGGACTATTTACAATCCTCTTCCCCACCCTCAACAACGCACACTAGAAAGGAAAAGATGAAGGCATGATCTGAAGTGGAGAAGGCAGAGAGATGTGAAACTCGAGGGGTGAATGAGTAATCTTACCAAGATTGCTGCGTGCGCCGGTGCAGGGGTGCCGTGTGCGGTGCAAGGTGCTTTCACAGTGTGCCTGCAGATTTTGTCCTCCTTGCTCTGCTTTTTCCTTCAGGGGTCTGTAAGGTATCTTGAGGAAGGGGTGCCTTTTTCCTGAAATACACAAAACTACCCTAATACCTGGTGGGTTTTGCTAAGAAACTTCTAGTAGTGCTGTTCAACAGAACTTTGTGCAAGTGAAGGAAATGTTATAGTTACACCATCTAATACAGTACCTGTGAGTCACGTATAGCTCTTGACCTCTTAGAACTGAGAGCTGTTTTTAAAAAAAATTTTTTTGAATGTATTTTGCTTGGAAAAAGTTGACTGCTATCTTAATTGCTTTTGGGGGTGGGGGTGGGGAGGCTGTGTGCTTAGAAGCGCTTGTTGCATGGGTCAACTTTCTTTTCGCCATCCCAGGCATCTGGCTGCCTAGGACAGTGTTGGTTCTGAAGATGGGGACCATGCACAGGTGGGGAGTGTACTTGTGCCAGAGGCTGCTGAGAGTGGCTGTGTTCTTGTTGACAGTGGTCCACATTTGCAGGTGGCTGCCTTTCACTGGCTGGATCTGTTTTCATGACCACCAGCACACCTTTGCCATCGCAGCCAGCTCCATACCCACAGGCTTGTGGTGACTCGGACCATTGTTATGGAAGGATTACTGGGTTGAGGTGCTGGATGTCTACTGCTTCCTCTTGATCCAGAAGCTGGAGCATTTTCCTAGGACCATCCATGGTAGATGCACCAACGTTGTGGGCCATTCTAGATGTGGCTTCATTTAATTAATCCGTTAATTTAATTAATATAAAATTAAACAGCTCCATTGACTGGAGGCTACCATACTGGACACACAGCTCAAGGGCAAGAAAATGGAAGCTCAGGACTGCTTGATGTAGATTTAGTCACACAAAGCATGACCATTATCCATGTGATGTTCAGAGGGCCCTTGCAACTGTGCTCCTTGTTAAGTAGGGATTGCTGGGCTATCATTACTCAGGTTACAACTAAGTCCCTATTCCAGGCCCAGTAGGCAGGTTTGGGAGGCTTGAATAAAGGGAATCAATAAGGTTGCTATGGGAACCTGGACATACCATAGATCACCTTGACCATGAATGTGCAAGCAGGGCCAGGACGCACTCTGTGTCAAAGGTCAATGCCCAAGACCAGCCATCCCAGCAGATAACAGGTCATAAAAGAAAGCCTTAAGCCCTTCTTGGCCCGCAGACCTCTCACGTCTCGCCCCCCCTGCTGCCTTTCAGAGTATTTCAATAAATCCACCCTTTCTGTCCTCCACTGCCTCTCGTGAATTCCTTCACCCCAGTGCCTGCGCGAAACTCTGATATTTCTCCCCTCTACAGGGATAAGGGGGGCCAACAGGGCCAGAAGTGGTGCTGGAGGTGGTCTCTCGGGTGAAGAATGTTGGAGAGAATGAGAAATGCCCAAAGGATGGGAGCAGAGGTGCAGCCGCAGAGAAGGAAGAGAGAATGGCTCATCGGGGCAGGTAAGAGACTCAGCTGCAATTTGCTAGATTCCTTTTGAATCCTTTATGAATCTGTCCCTCATGAAGTTAGTCAAATTCTTCTGAACCCATTTGTGTTTTCATCTCTCAGTTCAAAATAATGAATTTTTATATGAAGCTAATCATATAAAATCATCATGGGCAGGAGGCACTGGTCTAGGGGCTCCTGGGCCTGGAGGGGATCAGTTGTCCCTTGAAAGCTGTCTCTTTGGGAGCAGGTCTGTCTAAGCTCCAGTCAAGGCTGCAGTGGGCAGGAGGGGGGCCTCCTGCACGCCCGCGCGTGCAGCTGCACCGGAACAGTGGGTGGTGTCAGAACTCATCTGAGAGCAGGGTGTTTCCCCAGCGGCGCCTTCATCCTGAGTTGGGACGGAGGTCAGGTCTATCATTTAGTGATCAGCTCACTCTCCCCTCCTGTTGGCAAGTGGGTTTCCTAGGGCCTTTGAGGGATGGTACGTCCCAGCTGGCGACTCCAGCAGCATCGGCATCACCTGAGGGCTTGTTCAGAGGCCGACTCAGGCCGGCTGCAGATCGGCACACACCAGATATCCAGGCGAATCGGGCACACAGCAGAGTTTGAGAAGCACCGAGCTAGAACCCCGTCACCTGGGGTTGATTTAATACTTGTCTTGAATTAGTTACCAAAGCTGAGTTGAACTTGCTGTTTGAGAATTTTATTGGCTTCTCCTCCCCCCTCTGGAGAACGTTCCTCTGAGACATAAATCTGCCAAAATGGTTTCCAAGTTTCATTATCCCCAATGGAAGCCTCCAAAGCAGTGGATGTTCCGAAAGCTGAGGGTCTTTGGGCAGGGGACACTTTGAGAGTGGGGTGGGAGGCAAGAACCTCCTTTCAGGGTCAGCTCTGGAGCGTGGCTTCATCTGTAGCCGAGCGCTCCCGTGCCTGCCCCGCGAAGGGCTGCAGGTCTCCACCTCCACCCGTGGCTTCCCCGCACCAAAGCCCAGTGAAGAGAGGATCCTCTCGGGAGCTTCTGAACAGAGCCGACAGCCCGGGGCTGATAGCAAAAAAGAATGTACATCTGCTCGTCCCCCAGTTACCAGGTGGTGTGAATGAGTGTACAACATCCAGGCAGCAAGAAATGCAGCTGTTTAAAAATGAGAATTTTCTTAAGAGGTTATTAATGCAGCAAAGAGTAGAGTGCAAAAAGAATTCTAGTATCTTATTTTAATTTTTTTCCTTTTTTCAATATCTTATTTTTTAAAACGAAAACATATGTATATGCAGACAGATCCCCAAAATCTGCTGCGTTGTTGCTCTTCAGCCAAAGGCCACCAGGAGCACGCGGGCTTATGGGCTCTTCGGACCGAGAGCACATGCACACTGGGGGCGGCGAGGGCCTCTGGGTGTCTCCCCAAGAGGATCACAGAGAGGAATTAGAGGAATCAGACGTGCGCTAGGGCCAGTGCTTTAGAGGATGGTTCGAGCACACCGGGCTGTGCTCTGGGGTGGAACTGCCGGGGAGCAGGGGTAAATGTAGGATTGGATCTCTTTAATAATTCTTACCAAGAGGACTGGAGTGAAGCTGTCATTGGTGAAAAACAGAAACAACAGTCACCCACTAGCTAGGGCACGGGGGCGTTTGGTTACTTCTGTGGTTTGGACAGTGTTCTTGTTTTTGTCTCGTTCAGACGTGATCACGGAATGGTCTTGTTTTTTGTCTTGATCTTCGCAGTCACACTGGCCTGGCTGATGTTGTGTGGAGCTGGTTATGCTCAGCAGGGGAAGACCCAGGGCCAGCTGCAGGCCAGGCCAGCTGCCGGCTCCAGGGGCCGCTTCGCCCTTCCTCAGTGGTGGCTGTGAGGGGGGACCCGGGGGTGCCTCTGGGTGTCGGAATTAAGGGTGATTTTCACTTTCCACTTCATATTCTGAAAGAAAAATGTTTTCCCAACAAGCATGTATTACATTTATCTTTAGAAAAATAGCAATTTTCTTTTTAGAAAAAAAAAAAAAAACAAAGCAAATCACCCATAAAAGAAAACTCTAAACCAGATAAGGCATATTTCAGGGCATTTGGTACCCCTGCTTCATGGCATATCCAGTCCAGAGCAGAAACCTATTTGCTCCAAGAGCCCCCTACAGAAGCACCGACCCCCCAGGACACTGAATTCCCTCGGCAATGAGTCTCAAGCAGCTGTCCCCTGCAGGGAAGCTCCACGCAAGCGTTCTCCCACGAGGTGGGCTGGGCGTGCCACACTGGAGTTTAGATTGGATGGAAATTGGTGTTGCTCAAGCCTTCACTGCAGGGTCCAGGTGGTGAGCAACATGTTGGCTTGTCGACACTGGGCGGAGGCCACCTGGACACCTGCTTGGTGGGGCTCCCAGCCGAGAGGCTTTGGCCTGGCCTCGAACTCTGGCTCCCAACTTGGCTGCCCTGGAGTATCACCTGGGAAGCTGGCATCCAGCCAACACCCCTGGTATTCAGCCACCCGGGCAGTTCACTCAGGATCCCTGGGGGGCGGGCCCAGGTGTAGAAGCATTTTTTTTGAGCTCCAGGTGATTCCTCCAACTTCTCCCTCTTTTGCTTTAACCCTGCCTGCACCCTCGTTCATGCTACATCTGCAGCGTCTGTCCTCATCTTTCCTACTCCTGCCATCTCGAGCCCAGGGCAGGCCATCCACTGCTCTCTCCTGAATTCCTGTCCTCCACACGCTCCATCTGATCTTTGTAGATAGAAATCCAGGTCACTGGTTCTCAGCCCTTGCAGAGCATTACAATCGCCAGGGGAGGTCGAAAAAGCACTCCCAGGGCTCCACCCTCTCAGTTTCTGATTCCATTGGCCTGAGGTGGAACTCAGGCACTGATTTTTTTTTCAAGTTTCTCAAGGGATTGTACCAGGCAGCCAGGGTTGAGAAACATAGCTTGAGGTGCTCTAACTCCCTAGCCCAACAGGGGCCAAGTACACAAGGGAACCCTGTAAACTGAGGTGCAGGAGTTTGTTAGGGCTCCTCTAGGAGGGGGCCTTCTCCCCCATGGTGCCAGAGAAGGTCACACAGCTCTCTCTGTTCAGATATGGGCAGCCAGGGGGCTGTAAAGGGGTGATTTAGCAGATACTGCAGTAGTACCTGGTGATGAGGTAGTCCTGGCAGAGGAGGCCTGGAGCAGGAGAGGTGGGAAAAGATGGGAATTAAGTCCCATTTGGTGTCCTGAAATACTTGTGAGAGACCGCAGAGGGCTGGTCTCTCCAGAAGCAGGTGAGGGTGTAAGCCAGGAAACAGCATGCATCTCAGTCAGCACTTGATGGGAAAGAGTTCTGAGACCAGGAGGCCATTAGAGGCCTCCAGATCCCCTTCAGGACCTAGGCGCTCTACCCCCAGCTGCAGGCAGTGTTGCCTGTTGACTGTCCTCAGCTGAAGGGAGCTGCCACGTCCAAGGCTGTGCCCCACCCTGAGGGCAGCCTGTATACAATGCCTAGTCAGTGCACCCTAAAGCCCCAGAGACCTTGTTTTAGGGTATCTCAGCTTCAGAGCTCGCCATGGGATCAGCTGAGATTTCCGTGGCAAATGCATCCCAGTTTAGCCTCTCCCTCTCCCCAGTACTGCTTCCTCCACATCCCTAAGGGGTTGCTCCAGTGTTCTTCCCAACAAGCCACACTATATTCCAAATCTCCAACTCAGTATCTGTTTCTAGGGTGCCTGAACCGTGAGAAAGGCCCTTCATACATGAGTGGGTGAAGGAGGAACAGGGCCAAAAGGGTTTTGCATTAGAGCTGCTTTGGGGATTTCAAGGAACATTTGTGGGTTCAAAGGATATGAAAACTGCTAATATGAGCATATAATTCCCCTACTTAAAATTCTCCAGTGACTCTACCGACTGTGGGATGACTTCTGAGCTCCTCTGCACAGTGTGTGAGCCCTTTTGTAATCTGACCTGCTCACCTCTGTTGGTACCTCTTGCTTGCTCTCCAGACAATCTAAGCTCTCTGCAGTTCTCCAAACCCGAGCTGTCTCCCACCCCTGCCTCCACATGCACAGCCCACTCACCCTAGAAAGCCCTCTTCTCACCCAGAACACTTGCGTCCCCTCTGCATTGTAATCATGAGTCTACTCGCTGCCCTTCTGGCCTGATTATTCTGTGAGGCTTGGCCAAATTTTATTTGTCTGCCTCTCCAGGGCCCAGCACAGTGACTGGCTCTTGACAAATCGTGTTGAATGAATGAGTAAATGGCTAGAAGGGGGGCAGTCTTCTGAGCCAGAGTCTGGTTTTAATCCCGCTTTCACTTTCTAGTTGTGATATTGTCCAAGTGATTTAACCTCTCAACTTCATTTATAAAGAGGGGAGAATAGTGTATTTTATAAATCTCTGGGGGAGATTGAACCCGAAGAGATGACTTGAAGAAAATACCCAGCACTGTGGTTGATAAAGAGACACTCAAGTGGTGGAATTATTAGAATTTATTTGGCTTCTATCCATCAAGACCAAGATTGCCTCCTGTGTTCTAAGTGTGAACACAGCAGATTTTGATTAGTAATCATCTCTGATACAAAGAGATAGAACATGAGATACCCAATATGATGTGTGGTCATCATGGACATTTGGCACCTGGACATGGTAAAATGCAAGGAGACAGGACGACATGATGTTACCATTTGAAGTACATTAGACTTGACCGAAAGGGGTAAATCTTCACAAAAGTCTAGAAGAATCAAGGTGCAAGGCCTTTCCATTAACCTCAGAGCCAAGGCTCCAGGCTGATGGCTTAACTTTGTACTATATGGTGGGGGTCCTCCAATGAACCCCTTGGCTCCAGCCCCATCTCTTGAGAGCAGCACAGCCTGTGGCCAGGACCAGCTTTCCGGGATAAGTTTCCATGCTTGGAAGAAGGCATGCTTTCCCTCATGCTTGAGGCACCCGCACCGACACCTGTTATTTTCTGTTTTTGTTAGTTTGTTTATAGCCATCCTAGTGGGTGTGAAGTGGTATTTCACTGTGACTTTGATTTGCTCAATACATATTTTTGTCCCCTTAC